ATGATGGGGCCAGCGTCATCAGCTGACTTGAACCCGATCGAGAACCCGTGGCGCATCTGCTCAGGGTTGTTCGTAGTGAAACTGGCAACACTGAGTGGCAGTTGTCGAGATGCAAACAAGCCATCGTCTGAGATGGAAGTCGATGACGGAAGCGAGGGCTTTTATCTTAGTGTCGCTCCATCTTTTTCCAGATACGACGCAATGTCGTACTACAATCGCATCCCTGAGCTGAAGCAGGCTGTGTCTCAGATCGCAGCGGGCGTGTTCAGCCCGCAGCAGGTGGACCTCTTCCAGGATCTGGTCAACATGCTCATGCACCACGACAGGTCCCGGCCCGACCCGTGCCGCCTTCCTGCTCTATTTTAAGCACTGTCCGTGGCAGATCATCTCACCCGAGATTTGTGTGTGTGTGTCACGCCGCAGGTTCAAGGTGTTCGCCGACTACGAGGATTACATCAAATGCCAGGAGAGAGTGAGCGCTCTCTACAAGGTCAGTAGCCAAATGCGGCCTTCACCCAGCCTAGAGCAGGGGTGGCAAAACCGTGACGCCTTTCTGCTCCGGTCCAATGCAGGGGGATGAGGGGGGAGGGGGGGACAAATTTGGGTGCACCAACTACTACTAGTTTGTGCACACGAGACGGTTACAGCGTGGACATGAAGTAGCGCTGATCCCTTATTGGACAAGATGGTAAACAAATGGAGCGCCCCTTCACAGACCCGCTACTCGCTGACCTCATCAGTGCATTCAAAAACCCACAAATTATTGTAGCCGACGTTTTTATTTTACGGCAACATTAAGTCGTGATATTAAGACCAAACGTTTTCGTTTGGTGTACATCCACCGGGTGACCACGATCCCACCCAGAGCGTTGCAGTTGCCCACCAATAAAAGCGATCGCCATGTCCAAGGCCGGGAAAGCGAGCTGGCTCTCAAAAGCCTCTTCAAGTGTCCAGTGAGTAAGTAGTATTGGCGGCAGGCTGGAGGGAAGGCCCTCCTCTGCCACCTGCTGGAGACACACAAGAACAGAATCACGACACCTTTGACCTTTCAACTTTGAAAGAAGGTGCGTTCGGTTTTCCCATTCAAGTGACCCGCAAGGAGCCACGGCTACTTAGTGCGCACTCTCTATTTTGTGCGCACATAATAGTCACAGTGTGTGCACAAAGTAGTTTGGGTCCCCCCGCCCCAAATGTCATGTCTGGGGTTCTGTACACGTGTGCACAAAGTAGTTTGGGTTCTCCCCCACCCCCCACCCCCGCCCCAAATGTCATGTCTGGGGTTCTGTACAATTGAAATATTGAGTAAACAAAAAAAAAAAATTGCAATTTGCTTATTTCAAAAGAGTACAGCCCTACCTCACAATTTGTATGCCAGCAATTCAGGAGTCGGGTGGTGCTGTGACCGGTCCTTAAAGTCAATGAGACTTTGTGGGAGGAGCAAAAAAAAAAAAAAAAGTTTTGTCTTTGAAATGGAGCCACACTTTTTGTGTTGCCAGAACCCTAAAGAGTGGACCAAGATGGTGATCCGTAACATCGCGGCCTCGGGTAAATTCTCCAGCGACCGCACCATTTCCCAGTACGCCAGGGAGATCTGGAGCATGGAGCCCAGCTTGGAGAAGATCGCCGCCCCGGACGACCCCCGCTAAAGTGCACGTAAACCCCCGCGCCCCTTCCGCCCCTAAAACCACGTAGCCTCTCACTGTTGCAGCTCTAGAAAACGTGCTCACTCCTACTGACATCTTGACTGGGACCACCCGCGCGCACGCACACCCACTCCAGGGCCCCAAACCAACACTGACACCCCAGAAAAGGTCTCCACTGTGATGAAAAGTCTGCTGTACGTCTTCCAGTCATCGTCCCCTGCACGCTGTTGTTCGAACGTAACATTAGCAACGAAAATATGTTTTCCGTCTCGTCTCGCGTATTCAAACGACCATTTCTGTCCATGCACTGTAACCACGAGCACATCTGACACTGAAGCGGTCATTTGCAATTTCTGTCCATGTTTGTCTTTGTCAATAAATGGCAAGTCTCGTCCACAGCTCTGTGTGTGTGTGTGTGTGTGTGTGTGTGTGTGTGTGTGTGTGTGTGAGGGATGTTTTACGGTCCAATAATTGTGGGGGGGACTAATGATTTGATCCCATGCTGAATTTTTTTAAAATGAACTCTTTTACGGTCCAATAATTGTGGGGGGACTCATGATTTGATCCCATGCTGAATTTTTTTAAAATGAACTCTAAGCGGCATGCCCTTCCCCAAATGCATCTGCCAACTGCCCCGCCCACTCGGTGATTGACAGTTGTCAATCGGCACAAGACCCCTCCCGTCCCCTGTTGCCAATCACATAAAAAAAAAAAAACAAAACAACTAACGACAGCCCCTCGCCGCCTCCTTCCATTTGAGGTCTCCTCACACACCGCTATGGATTGCGGCGCTTACGGTAAGATTGATTTCTTTTTCAGTCATAATTGTGCGTTGAAAATACTCAGTCACCAAGAATTGAAAGCTTTTAATTGTTCACCTCATTAACGGCTGCATGATGATTACCGAGCCGCAAAGACGGGATTTATTCAAAACACAATATTTGATATGTAAATAACCTGCATTCACATCGAATTTTTTTTTTTTTGTGACAGAGATGGACCCCCTGGAGGTCCCCCCTCTCACCCCGACCAGCAAGGAGGTTCTGTGCCAGGCTCTGAGAGCCAGTTTTGCCGGTTTCACCCAGGAGAGGCTCACTCACCGTTTCCCCCAAGGTGAAAGACCAAATCGTCGCCGTGCGCATCCGCCCCATTTGCGGGACGCCGCTTGTCCTCCCTCCCGCCAGATCCGACTCGATGGTCCGAATGGGAGGTGAACCACTGGCTGGGCTGGTGCCGGGGGAAGATCGCAAATAATCGTCCGAATGTCACGCGTGAGTCTACTTTTTTTTTTTTCTGCTGTTGCAAAGTGGAAATTTGGAAAATTTGGACTCGTTGTGAAATGCCTAATTTTGGAATAGTTCCCAAAATGTCCAGCACGAGCAGAACGTTTTGAAGTCGGATGAGTTACATTTGCTTCAGGAATGTGGGATGGATCAGGTCCGCTACTCAAAGAGTTCATTTGGCAAGTCGCCAATGTGAAATGCATGAAGAAAAAAAAATGTCCTCACTGAGCTGAAGGTGAAAAGCGGACAGATGCAGGCACTTCTGGAGGATTTTCTTAAGGCAAAATGTGGAACGGTGGGAATCTTGGGCATGTCCGGCATTCACACAAACGTTTTCATCACCCTCCTGAGGATAAGCGGAACAACTATACAGGCAAACTCATGTTCTGACTCCAACCCTATTGAGAACCCGCTTCAAAGGAAAATCGCGATACAGTGAAACTCCTCTACAATGAAATCATGTTTGCAGCAAGAAATTTTTCACAACAGGGGGTTTTTCACTGTAGCAAATTTGATCTCAGATGTAAACGCGCGCACACACACACACACACACACACACACAAACGAACGCATGTGTACTCTATATTTTTATTCCAATAGTGCATAAGTATGAATGTACACTTATTTGACACTTCATATAGTCAGTGTAGAAAGAAAAAAGGGAAAGAAATTGCGAAATTTACGATCAGCATTCACTTTCACTGACATCAATTTCTTGGATAATGTCTTTTATTTTGCTTCCTCCGTCTTTCATTTTGATCACTTCTTGTCTTAGCTGCTTGACATCCAAAGGTCCGTTTTGTAGCCATTATAGCAATGCAACGTTCTTGCTGCGTCTGAAACTAACAAAAACAAATACTTCCTGGACTACTGCGCATGTGTAAACCAGTGTGGTGTTGCTGTTGCCGTTTCCTAATGAAGCAGTAGAGGTCGCTGTTGGATGAGACTTCGTTGTAGTGAATCTCGCCGTGAGGCAAGAGCAGAGAAAAAGATTTCATATAACGCAACAGGGTTTTTTTTCGTCATATGTGGGGCAGGAAAGTGGGAATGGTGTTAATGCATTAAGATTTTTTCACACTTGGGGGTATTTTCGCCCATGTAGGTTTCGTTGTAGAGGGGTTTCACTGTACTTCCAAACACCAATGGACAAAACGTATAAGGGCACCACCATCCCCTGACCGAGAGATAGCAGCATCCACTATCATTGGACTTCCAAAGTCAAAGAAAACAACGCTCTGTCCTCGCTTCCAGAGACCGAGTCAGAAGCTGAGGGGTCTAGCGGCAACGCCCTGACGTGGACGGCCGGCGCCCGCGATACGGAGGCGATGGCGGATGACAGCCGGCACGGTGACGCGTTGGCTTTCATGCAGCCCTACCAAAGCTTCAAGGAGTACGCCGGCAACAAGGCGGAC